TTATGTTAAAAACTCTTTTTTCCTTTTTGGCGTTGTTCTTAATTATGGTTGTATTTTTGTATTTTATTTCGGCATGCACTGTTTGTTAAACCTTATTACAATCGTTCCTTTATATTTGTATTGGTAGTCTAATGAAGTTAAACCAGTTTCTACCGTGCTTAGATCGTAAAAAGAGTTGAAAACTTTTTTTGTACTTGATGACATATTTAATCGTTACTTTATATTTGTATTGGTAGTCTAATGAAGTTAAACCAGTTTCTACCGTGCTTAGATCGTAAAAAAGAGTTGAAAACTTCTTTTGTACTTGATGACATATTTAATCGTTACTTTATATTTGTATTGGTAGTCTAATGTAGTTAAACCAGTTTCTACCGTGCTTAGATCGTAAAAAGAGTTGAAAACTTCTTTTGTACTTGATGACATATTTAATTGTTACTTTATATTTGTATTGGTAGTCTAACGAAGTTAAACCAGTTTCTACCGTGCTTTGATCGTAGAAAGAGTTGAAAACTTTTCTTGTACTTGATGACATATTTAATTGATACTTTACATTTTTCCTGGGTATTCTTTTGGAAAATTCATGGACGCGGTTTTGCCATGTGGTAGATATTTGTTTGTAGAAGTTTTAAAGGTCAAAGCTGCTCGAGGGCTATCTGTGCTGGTCATCCCTAATTATGAAATGATAGACTAGATGGGTTACTTTTTTACCAACGAATAATGGAATTAATCGTCACATTATAACGCCCCGACGACTGAAAGGGCGAACATGTTCAGCGACGGATTTCGATCCCTCGATCCGCAGATTGCAAGTCAAAAGACCTAACCACCAAGCGTCCATGCTAGAGTTTTAGCTTTCGAAGCTGGCGAACCTAGTTCAGAATCCGTACGATACTTTAAGCTCTTAGTGCGTTATAAGAGGGACAGTAATTTCTTAGCGTGAGTAGTAGGGTACAGCTAACTGGGTTTCTTCCCCCTGTTCATTAGTTTAAAATTGAGGTAGGCGGCCAATAGTCTTAATAGCTTTGTCATAAATAAGAATACAAAATATAAATGAAAAATTAATTAATTTATTTTATTAAACTCCCACCACTCACCCCCACGTGGCTCAGTGGTAAGTGTAAGAGCTTATAATGCTAAAAGTCAGGTTTCGATAATCGCGGTGAGTACAGCACAGGTAGCCCATTTTGTAGCTTTACGCCTAACTATAAACAAACATTTTTTTTTTCTTAAGCCTAAATATAGATGCACGCTGTTTCTTAAAGTGTGTACTAAATTCTCGATATTTGTGAAGATGCACGGTAACTCGATGATGAGTTTAAGATACGGACGAGCCGGATGATTTTTTTTTCCAATACAATTCGAAGTATACGTAAACTAAACAAATAAAAAAAAACAATGAAAGTAAAATTCTACAGTGCTAAGGCGGGCGAAATGATGAACTTATTAATTATATCATAATGTTCCAATTTTTCCAAACTCTAAAAACTACTAGTATTTCCTAAAGAATGTTTTTAACAGCTTGATGTAACCACTAATACGCCAAAGTTTGTTCTGGTTTATATCATTATGATTTGATATAAGTAGGTTTTGATTAGCTTTACTCATTTTTAATGTCACGAGTTCCTTTTTTTGGGGGGGATCTTTTGAAGTACATTATATTTTCAATAATGATTTTTCCAAATAATGGAATTCTGAATGAAGTTGATTAATTTCAAAGTCGTACCGAAACACAACCCAGAGCTATCGCGTGGAATCTGTTACTGATTAGCCCCTTCACCGGCGGCTCAGCAGTAAGTCTGAAATCTTATAACGCTAAAAACCGGTTGAGTACCTATTCTATAGCTTT